TTTGCAGGAAACTTTGTTGTTTTGATGCTAGGAAGCAGGAGAACCCTCTATTAGTAGATTTCACTATTCACAGTAGGGCTGCCTGGTCCACTTACCTGGCCAGTGGGGGGCTCCCGACATCCTTCCGGGAGACCAGAAGTGATGTCGGGCAACTTCCAGTAAAACCAGAATTACAGGCCCCAACATGATGATGTCACCTGGAAGTGATGTCGTCATGTCAGAGTGACACTGGTTTTTGGGCAAAACTCTATGGTAAATTTGGTTTCAAACCAGAGTTTTGGCCACAAACCAGAGCGTTACCCCCTGACATCCCTGACATGATGATGTCACTACCAGGTGATGTCATCATGCCAGGAAGTTGCCCAGGAAGGTCAGTTGAGGGTGGGATTTCCCTCGTGAAAGTGGGGGTTCCCCCGCCCCCACCAGGGGACTGGAAACCCTAATTCACAGTGATCCTGGGAACAGTGATCCCCACAAATGCTGAAGCTCAGTACTGTCAACTCTGACTGGTAGTGATTCTCTGGCAGAATATTTAAAATGATTTTTTTAACTGGAGAGGTCAGGGATTGAACCTGGGGCTTTCTGCACGCAAAATATAAAGTCTACCATTGAGCCACAGCCTTAATAAGTCACTTGAACTGAGATGGTTCATATATTACAACAAGCCACAATTAGATGCTATATGAATGAGGGCTGTGCTTGTGATGTCTCTCAGCCCTGTATATGCTCGGATGAAATTAGTAGATTTCTGTTACATCTAAAATGGCAAACTATTATTTCATTCCTCTTCCAAGGCTGTTTCTTCACCTTTTGTTCCACCTTTGCTTCAAAATTGGAACACTTTTTTTGGGAGCACCTGACACAATGTCATCCTCTAAGTGTTCACTTTCCAGGGTTTCCCCCTGCTTTGCTCTGTTCTTTCCCAAACCTGGTGTGGTACAATCCTTCTGTAAGTATTGCACTCCAAGTGTGTTGCATGCTGTGTGGATGGGAAGTTGCACATTTTAAAGGTCACACCTACAACAGTGCCTTTTTATATGTGTCAGCATCCCACAGGCAACAGTTCCCTCCCCCCCTGCACTGGAGGACTTTTGTTTTAAATAATCAGTGGCCCCGGTCACACGGGCAGGAAACTGCAGAGGAGAAGCGTGGCTGTTTGCCCTGGGGCAAACTACTGCGCAGTTACGCGATCAGATCTCCTGTGGAGGTCCTGTGGAGGTACCGTGGAGGTTCCATGGCAAGGGAGAGGTGCTGATCACAGGACAAGCCGGCGCGCAATGAAGAAGCGCGCACCGCGGCAAACTTGTTTTTTATTTTTGTGTACATGACAAATGCGCATGCTCCGTTGGGTGCGCATGCGCATCCACAGAGACTTGGACCAAAAAAAACACACCTTATTTGCAAGGGGACATGGGCGGGCGCCGGATGCCTCCGGAAACGCGATCAGACACCCGCCCTTGCCCCGCAGTTTCCGGAAACTAGTACCTCCAAGTTACTAGTTTTTTGCCACGCAGTTTCGGCTGGAAGCCTCGGTTGAGCCACGGGAGTGCTACGCTTCCCAGATGTGCTGGTGAGATCGCGCCCGGAAACTCCGGCTGTTTTCCGTCTCACTTGTGTGGCTTCTGTTACGTGTGACCGCAGCCAGTGATTGCTATATCTCTATAGTGTTAAAATGCTATAGCAATATAACAATTATAGACTTTTTAAAAAAGTCCTCTGGTAGTATGGTGTGGGGGGAATGGCAAGTACAAGGGGCCAGATCAAGGGAAATCCATAGAAATTAGCCATGTGGAGGCTCCATTGCTGCTGCCTGTGGATATCTCTGAATTTACAGCTGCTGAGAGAGAGAGAGAGAGAGAGAGAGAGAGAGAGAGAGAGAGAGAGAGAGAGAGAGAGAGAGAGATAAAAATGGGAGTGCAGATTTTAGTGTGCCATAATAAACTATGGTTTGTGCTATGCTTAAAGTCACTCAGTAGACGGTGCAAAGGAGGGAGGAAGTGAGCACTGGACATTTTCATGTTGTGCCAAGACATAATTTCATCTTATGACTGAAGCACCCTTTAGCCCAACAAGCCCCTGGTGGAGTTAGGAATTGCCAAGCACTGTGGGCTTGTTTGGCACAAACATGATCCCCAGGTGAATTTACCTCAAACAAACTCTCTTGTTTACATGCAAGGTGAATTTGTGACCAGGTTGCCTCAGTGTTTCCAGTTGAAATTCATATGTGAAGGTAAAATGTGGAGAGGAGAATCATGTATGTTACCCCAAGCATTGTGGAGGAAGAGTGGGATAAAATTGTACTAGGAAGAAAAAAGGAAGAAAGACAGCAGAAGCTTGTGCTACAGGGCCAGGTCACATCTTTGTAATAAATAACAAATAATTTGCAAAGTTAGAGTCCAGAGGCACCTTTAAGACCAACAAAGTTTTATTCAATGTGTGAGCTTTCGTGTGCACACACACCTTGAATAAAACTTTGTTGGTCTTAAAAGTGCCACTGGACTCTTAACTTTGTTCTATTGCTTCAGACCATCATGGCTGCCCACTTTGATCTATATCAATTTGCAGACACTTTTATGCTTGCATGAACTTGCCAATTATGAGAGAAGAGGCATGTATCTCCCAGGATCATAAAGAACCAACATTGCATTGCCTGCTTTTTTGCACTTATGTAGTTGGCAGCGACTATCTGTAAAGGGGCTGACTGTAGGGTTGCCAAGTAGGGTTGCCTATGAACCAGCGGGGGACACATGCGTCCCCACCGGAAGATTCTTGCTTGTAACACAGGCGCTGCACTATTCTGTCACCCAGATGTGGCGTAGGCACGTAGCTGGGTGACGCTCTGGTAATGGGATTGGAAACTCGATGGTACCATCGAGTTTCCAGCCCCATTGCTAGAGCGTCACCCGGCTACATGCCTACGTCACATCTGGGTGACGGAATAGTGCAGCGCCTGTGTTTTCCCTGCGGGAATGGTCCCGCGAAGAACTATATATCCCCTGCCGGATCAAGGTAAGTACTTGGGAGCCCTGGCTGACCGCAAGGTTAGTGAGGTTCACAGATAGACACTTAAGCAGAGATCCCTGTCTGCCCAGAAAGGGGGGCTGTAAATGCTATACATAAATAGTAAGTCTCCGTTCAAAAAATCTCAAAAGGATCCCCCTCCTTTAATGAAGTGCCCTTTAAGAATTAGAGGTACAAATGGAAACATCCAGATTTATTCAGATACATTTGAAGCAGCTTGGCAAATGATCAGCTCCTTGATTGGAACTGGTGAGCCAAAGCAGTGAGTAATAAGGTATCCATAGCTGGACTCTGGAAAGATGGCATGAAAATCTCTTAAACATTACCAAATTATGGTTTGGGCCTAAGCACAAAAGCCCTCTACTCACACACTTTTTTCTCCCCTTGTATGGTCAGAATGGTTTAGCAACTTCTGGTGTAGCAAAACCCCCATTGAACTTTAAAAAAAAATACAGCTTTACAAGTGAGGACCCACAAGACTTGTAGGGGGAGCAAATACCGGTGGCAGCAGCACCCTGCTTACTTTTCTGCTGCCCTCCCCCCTACTCTGCCTCCCTGCCCACTCATTCACCCTCAACTCCTTCAGAGGCCTGGCTGATGTGGCAGCAGTGGCTCAGGCTCCCACTAGTCCTTCTCCGGGCAAAATTGCAGTGAGAGGGAATTTCAGTTGCCTCCCTCTTCCCCCACTCTGCCTGCCTACCTACCATGTATTACTCTGCCTGCCTGGTCACTCTCTGATTTCCCCCCATCTGTTAATTTTCCTGTCACTCTGCTCACCCCTTCCCCTGCCACTCTGTCTACCCATCTGTCCTCCCCACCACTCTTCAGGGAGTCAGGGGGCTATGACAGCTCCTGCTGTCCTCTTCAAGCAGCCACTTTCCCTCCTCCAACATCTCCTACATGCAGCAAGGTGGGTGGATGCTGCCAAGCCAGAGAAGGAGCATTGTCTGCACAAGTGCAGAAAATGTTCCTCTGTTTGGGAGGAATCCCCTCCCCCATTTTAAAGATTTTGTATTTTCATGCAGACCTGGGAGGTCCCCCCAGATTTGCAAAAAAGTATGTCCTTTCTCTCTTCATGGCCTCAGTCTACAGATTTAAGTATCCACAGATGGAGCCATGTTGACAATTGAATATATCGATTAGTTGCTTTTTAAGTTGATATGTTTAGGTCCTTTCTGTGCATATTGACGTTTGGTGATATGTATTGGTTTATGGCATGTGGATTTATTCTAAATGCAGATTTACTGGGTAGTGTGCAGCTAGTTTACGGTGTATAATTTATTTTTAAGTGCCAAGGCCTGTGGTGTAGCACAGGAATAAGCTTGGGTTGATTTGTAATATAATTGCTTAGATGTAAGATCAGATCAATAATCCATCTAGTCCACCATCATGTTTAATTAATTTTGTAAAATCGTTCAGTTGCTGCCCCTAAAGCGACTGGTGTTCAGAGGTGTGCTGTCTCTGGGCACTTTGATATCATAGCGAAACAGATCATAGGCCCAGGGAACCTTGCCTATCTTTACTGCAGAATGGCACTAGGGCAAACAGTTTTGCTTCATTAGACTTATGTCTTAAGGAAATAAAATAAAGTATCATGAAACATTAGACTTATGTCTTAAGGAAATAAAATAAAGTATCATGAAACATATATTGCCAGCAACAATTGGTTGAAGTATGATTCCCTGTTCCACAAGGACCCTGAGAAAGTCCTATTCAGAAGTCTAGACTTCCAACAGAATTCTCAGCACCCTCACCAAATTGAATTCCCCAATATTCTTTCAGGCAAGCCACAACAGGTATCAAACTAAGATATGTTTGTAGCATGTTATAGGCTCTTAGACACTTTGTTTAGTATTTAACATAAAAGTGGCTTCTTCTGGCATGTGGTTCTTGTGAAACATTGTTTGTCCCCTGAATTACTGATCCACCTTTCGTATCTGCAATGAACTAATCTAGCACTTTCCCATTTTTCTTGACAGCTGCGTCCATTATTCCTGCAAAGCCACTGACTGCCATGAACTGGAGATTGAAAACTCAGTGGTGACTTGCACCAGCAGGGGGCACTACAATGGTGCCCAGTGCAATGTCACTTGCAAAACGGGCCACGTCCTCCAGATACAGCGGGATGATAACTTTGTGAAGCACCAGGTCTGTTACAGGAATGTACCATCCACTGTCAAATGGGTGGGCGGGATGTGCTTTTAAAGCTCACAATACCTCAGCGGGCAGTTCAGTGCTTTGCTCTGAGTCTGTGCCATGGGCAGGAGTACTTGAGAGAAGGCCTGTGAAGGGTACCTCTGAAATGCACGGCTTCCTATATTTTGTTGGTATTTATTCATTTAAAGTATTGATGTCCTGTTTTCTCAGTCTTTCTGTGCCCAAGACAGTGGGCAATCAAGTTTCCAAAGGCATTAAAACAACTAACCCCGATAAGCAGTAGAATGGACTGCACCAACACCTGGTGGGAAATCTTATTTCTTTTAATCCTCTGCCATGTTTAAAAAAAGAGAAAAAGATCCTGCAAGTAGAAAACGAACATAACTGTTCCAGCTTACCCTTTGATTTAATGATTTTGTAGGGAAGCATTCAAAAATGTCCGTCCTACCTCTTCATTCTAGGGTGGAGCCGTAGTTCAGTCGCAGAGCATCTGCTTGGAATGCAGAAAGTCCCAGGCTCAATCCTGGGCATCTACAGTTAAAAAGACCAGGCAGCAGGTGATGTGAAAGACCTCTGCCTGAGACCCTGGAGAGCTGCTTGCAGTCTGAACAGACAGTACTGACTAGGGTTGTCAGGTCCCTCTTGCCTGCCTGCAGGCGGGGGGGTGGGTGGGCAGGCAGGAAAGGGATGTTCTGGGAAGGGGAAGTGACATCACCCCCATTACCCCTGAAACAGCGACGTTGCATGCGACGTGCCTGTGTCACCCAGAAGTGACGTCAGTGACATCAGGGGTGACACTCTGGATTTTGGGTGAAACTCTATGGTAAAATCGGCATCAAAGCATAAAGTTTTGCCCCAAATCCAGATGGTCACCCCCTGATATCACCAACATGCCGACGTTACTTCTTCAGATACCAGATATCAGATAAAAGAAAGATTTTTAAAAACAACAGTTCTAAGCAATTGAAAGAATAAATGTATAATTAACGTGTGGAACTCACTGCCACAGGATATAGTGATGCCTGCTAGTTTAGATGGCCTTAAAAGGTAAGACGGTACACCAGTGGCTGCTAGCCATGACAACTAAGTAGAATGTTCATATTTAGTGGCAGTTGGGGGACAATATTGGATGTCCTGGTGTTCATGCTGGTGGGATTTCCAGCACACTGATTAATCTCTGTGAGAACAGGATGCTGACTAGATCATCCAGTCAGCTTTTGTGTATATTCTTATATATATATGTTCTGACATCTAAGCGATTAAACATCAGCTTGTCAAAAGCATTCCCCAGAAGGATAACCCCTCCAAGTCTGCCAGAGAAGGGAGGATTTAAAGACCTCCCTTCAAAATAGCAGAATAAGGTCATTGCACATCCTCTAGGCTACTGTTGTGGCTCCAGAGTCCTTCCCCTGTGGCCTTGGCTCCCATGGGGGCAGAGTCAGTGAGCAGAGCTGATGGCGTTGGCCCCTCAACCCTTGGACCAATTTCAGACCTGGAACAGTTGAGGCCTGGTTGCTAACCAGGGGTGGAGAGCATAAGTTCTTCCCATTTTCTTGCTCTCTGCTCATGACACCTTCTTTTTTTGGACTAGGTGGGGAGGGTGGCATATGGCAGCTTGTCATTTGGGGCAGAGGTGTTAGTTCCGTTTCAGACTCTGTGGTTTGTCTTTAATTTTTTAAAAAACAAACAAACAAGAGGCAGCATTCTAGTCTCCATCTAGAGCGAAGGCACTATCTGGACATTCCTTGTGACAGATTTTACTCTGACACGGCCCCACCCCTGACTGGCTTCCTCTTGTCCCTTCCAGGACTGAGCTGGCAGCCACTCTCCCCCCCACCCCTTCCACTTGTTTACTCCTCTCTGTCCACTGGACATCACTGGCTCTTTGTGCAGAAGACAAGCCCAAGGTTTAAGCAAAAGAGTCCTGCTGTCTTTACTGAAGAGGTGGGCTATGCTCAGAGATCTATGTTTTGTAAATATACCGAACTCCGTCATAATATCACCGAGGAGAGACGTTTGGTGGGGAGGGGTAGATGAGTCAGCCCTTTCAAGTCAACTACCAAACAAATAGAGACCCTGCAAGTGGGGCCTCTTCCTCCCCCCACTCCACCCCACCTTCGTTCACGCTAATTGGCACCAGTACCAGAACCCTCTCGGCAGCTGAATTTTTCTGCAGAATACAAAACAAATTCTCCAGTGAGCCTGACTTATTGAACAGAGTACTTGGAATGGGCCTTGAATGGCAGAGATCACAAGAATCCACTGACCAAATAAAATGGCACAACATGTTTTACCACGTCACTGTATCGTTTCAATGGCAAGGAGCCCCTTTACAGGGCGGGCGGGGGAATCAGAGCCAGTTACCGTGCCTGGTTTTGATCAGGGAACTCTGCTTGCAAGGCAAATGGGTACTTATTTAATTCTCTTCTCCTCTCCACTGAACTTTAGGACCTTGAATGTGTGCTGTTTACCAAGTCAGACCGTCTTGTCTGGTGTAATTTCCTACAGTTTCAGGTGGCTCTTTGGCCTCTTGGGTAAAGTACTTTTGCAGTATGTTACCTCAGTTCTCTTAGCTGAAGCTTCCAGGGCTTGGACGTAGGACCTTATGCCTGCAACACACACACACTCTACATCTGAGCTACTGCCCCTGTCAATATGAAGCCACTTCAAGCAGCAGCTGGATGAACACCTGTCAGGGATGCTTTAGGCTGATCCTGCACTGAACAGGGGGTTGGACTAAATGGCTTATATAGCCTCTTCCAACTCTATGATTCTATATAAAGTCAGGCCATTGGGCTGTCTAGCCCAGTATTGTCTGCTCTGAGTGGCCATGGCTCTTCAGAACCTGCAGTCCTTTTAGTGGAGATGCCAAGGGCTGAACCTCAGACTTTCTGTATGCAAAACATGTGGTCTTCCAGCTAGGATTGCCAACTCTGGATTGGGAGATTCCTGAAGATTTGGGGGGGATCCTGGAGACAGTGATGTTTGGGGATATGAGAGACCTCAGAGGAATATAATGCTGTATAGTCCATCCTCCAAAGCAGCCATTTTCTCCGTAGTCTGGAGATAAATTATAATTCTGGGATATTTCTAGGTTCCACCTGGAGGTTCACATCCCTGTCATTCATATGGTGTGGTTTTCTACCTAGTTTGTCTAGATGTCTACTTTAACTGGAAGCTGCTTTCCAGGGACTCAAGCAGAGAAAGTTCCTCCCCAGCACCTGCTATCTGAGTGCCTTTACTTGGAAATGCCAAGAATTGGATAAGAACCCTGACTATGTAGCATGTTCTGCCACTGAACTATGATCACTCCTACAGCTTAATGTGTAAAAGAGCTAGAAATTGTCTGGAAGTTCATCACACACACACACACCCCTTCAGGTTGCAAGGGTATGACCTTACCTGGAGAAACAGTCCTGATCCTGAATTCTTCAGACTACATCATCAGAAACTTTTCATTGGCTCTGAGGGATCTCTTCACATTTCATTGGCTGGAGCCATTGATGTGAGCGGACTTGTCATCCTGGCTCCTGGTGCCTAACCAATAGACACACCTCAATGAATCCTTGATTTTGGGCTTCTTGCTCCTACCTATGGAGTCAAGTTCTCCTTGCCTCATCCTCACAATCCAGTTTACATTTTCCCATTGTGTGTGTGTGTGTGAGTGTGTTAAGTGCTGTCAAGTTGCTTCCAACGTATGGTGACCCTATGAATTCATGTCCTCTAAAATGCCCTATTGTTATCAGCCTTGCTCATGTCTTGCAAACTGAAGGCCATGGCTTCCTTGATTGAGTCAATCCATGTCCTAACTCTTCCTCTTTTCCTAGTATTATTGTCTTTTCCAGTGAATTCTGTCTTTTCATAATGTGACCAAAGTATGATAGCCTCAGTCATTTGAGCATCTAGGGAGAGTTCAGGCTTGATTTGATCTAGAACCCCCTTCTTTGTCTTTTTGGCAGTCCATGACAACGAGAAAACTCTCCTCCAACACCACATTTCAAATGAATCAACTTTCCTCCTGTCAGCTTTCTTCAGTGGCTAACTTTTGCACCCATACATAGTGATCGGGAATACTATGGCATTAATTAATTTGATCTTGTTCACCAGCAACAAATCCTTACACTTAAGAATCTTTTCTAGCTTCATCAGGGTTGCTCTTCCCATTCTCAATCTTTTTCTGATTTCTTGGTTTCACTCTCCCTTTTCGTTAATGATGGAGCCAAGGAATAGAAAATCTGTTCAAGTTTTTCAGTTTTTTCATTGTCAACCTTGAAGTTGTGCAATTGCCCCAGTAGTCATTACTTTTGTCTTCTTGATGTTCAGCTGTAATCCTGCTTTGGCATTTTCTGATTTAACCTTCCTCAGTTATTATTTCAAGTGTTCACTGTTTCCTGCCAGTAATGTGGTGGTATCTGCATATCTCAAAACAGTTGATGTTCCTTCCACCAATTTTCACCCCACCTTCATATAAATCTAATCCAGCTCTCCTTTTGATATGTTCTGCATATAGATTGAAGAGACATGGAGATAAAATACAGCCTTGTCTGACACCTTTTTCAATTGGAAACCATTCTGTTTCTCCATATTCTGTCCTAATAGTAGCTTCTTGTCCAGAGTACAGGTTGCACATCAAAACAATTTCCCCACCATACCTGACTTTTAACATCTTTTCTGTTCTTGTTTTTCTACTATAGTTCCTCCATCTTCAGAACTAGTATATATATATTAGGGATGCCCTTGGGGGGTGTGATTTCCCCCATTCGTTTCCTTGTTGTCCTGAATCCCACTCCTCCTGAACTCTGTCTTAACTCAAAGACTTAAAAAAAAAATATTTTCAGAACTGAATCATAGGCAACTTGATGCAGCTTTCAAATCTTTCAATTTCTTTGCATCTCTCCCCCCCCCCATGTTACCAAGGTCTAGGTGCACAATAATAGCATTGCAAAAACATCCTCACTCTTAACTAGGGGTTTTGCATTTTATATCCCCAC